TAAAAGTAAAAAGATTCAATATAATTGTCGAACGAAAGTTCAGGGTTCGATTCCCCGGTCGAGAGTTAAACCCATAAAAGTTTGTTTATAGATTAATTTAGAATCATGTGTTTTGTATCAATCGGCTATGCAATACGAATAAAAGTCTTATATTAAACTAGCTATTCCTCGCGACTTCGCCCGTGTGTTATTTGGTGTTTTAGTCTTTTTGCGCGGAACTCTAATTATTTTTCTAAAATAAAAGTATCCTTATTTACTCCTTATGACATCAGCTATCCGCCAGTGAAAGTCCCGTCAAAATCGGTCCAGGCGTTTCAGAGATTAGACGAAACAAACAGACAGACAGAGAACACGAGACAGACCGACAGGCAGACAAAAATTTTAAAAATTGTGTTTTTGATTTTTGTTATAAGTATTTCATATGCATTTAGTAAAAAGTCGTAATTTTGACATTACAAACAGACACTTCAATTTTATTTATTTGTATAGATTAGATACTTATTTTAGACTAGCTGTTTCCCGTGACTTCGCCCGCGTATTATTTGGGGTTTTAATCTTTTAGCGCGGAACCCTAATGCTTTTTCTAAAATCTTCTGCTGACCTCTCATCCGGACGGATATCAGGTCTCCGTCGATGGCCCTCTGGGCTCTTCGGACCATTGCCTGATCCGGAGTACGGTGCCACTCACGCTCCCATCGCAGTTGCGATCTGCAGCTTGTCGCCATGTTTGGCACTATAGGTCGGCTGATTGGGAACGGATGCGGTCTTTTTTTGCATCCTACCCTTGAGGGTGGGTTTGTTTCTCGCCGGAAGATCCCAGCGTTGTTGCTGATGTGGTACTTCAGTGAACAGAATTATTTATAATATCCTCTGTGGTGCCCATCGGAAGCAGATCCCAGCCATGGTTTGGTTGCTCCTGTAAAATAGCATCACGCTATAAGCAGGAGTGATACTGGTCCTAGGCTGACGCAGTCTCGGGATGTAAACACCAGCGTTCTTAAAAAGAAGTATAATTCGCCTACAGGTCCTTCAAAAACGGCATTGCCAAGGAAAGGTCTGAGCACATCGGCAGAATTGGCGAGAAACTAGTTCGCCTTCCTTCGGGAAACCGTGCATTCTAGTCTCTCGCCAAGGCTGTCCAAAGGAGCTACTGTCAGCCATCTCTTCCATCTCTGCAGAAAGGACGACTCACTGGCCCATGCCGCAAAGTAGAAAGCCGATCTGTTAAGCTCTCTCTTTGCGTCCTACTCGACTCTACATGACGGGGGGAACACACCGTCGACCATTCCGTGGTGTGAGTGCTCCATGCCAGATGTGCGGTTTACACAGCGCTCGGTCCGCAAAGCACTCTTCTTCCTGGACGTCAGCAAGTCGGGTGGGCCTGATGGAGTCCCTCCCATTGTGCTGAAGACGTGTGCTCCGGAGTTGGCACCGATTTGAACGCGTCTTTTCCAGTACTCCTACTCCCAAGGCGTAGTCCCGAAGTCATGGAAGACAGCTTTGGTCCACCCGATCCCTAAAAAAGGCGACCGCACAGACCCGTCCAACTACAGGCCTATCGCCATTACCTTCTTGTTCTCTAAAATAATGGTTTCCATTATAAACTGCCAGCTCAAGAGAGGTACCTAATACCTTAGCTGGTGATCCTCAAGGTTGAGGATCACCAGCTGATTAGTGACCGCCAGTACGGTTTTCGTCGGGGTCGATCAGCTGGTGATCTTCTGGTCTACCTAACTCATAAATGGGCAAAGGCAGTAGAGTCCAAGGGGGAGGCATTGGCCGTTAGTTTGGACATAGTGAAGTCCTTCGATCTGGTCTGGCACGAAGCTTCCTTCCTATGGGCTTCCCGAGAAATTTTGCAAATGGATAACCAGTTTCCTTGCTGATCGGAGCATCAAGGTTGTAGTAGACGGTGCATGCTCTGATTTCAAGCCTATCAACGCTAGTGTTCCATAAGGCTGCGTGCTATCACCAACGCTGTTTCTCCTGCATATCAATAATATGTTGCAAACTAGTAATATTCATTGCTATGCAGACGACAGTACTGGTGATGCCTTATATACCGGCAGTGCCAATATTTCTCGGGAGAACTTCGCCGAGTACCGGGAAAAACTTGTATCTGAAGTCGAGTCTTTGCTGAACAAAGTATCGGATTGGTGGCGACTAAATCTAGTCCAGTTTAATCCTCAGAAGACACAAGTTTGCGCGTTTACCGCTAAAAGAACCCCTTTGTCGTATCTCTTCAGTTTCAAGGCACTCCCCTTGCTGCCTCAGCTAGCATCGGAATCCTCGGCGTCGACATATCGAATAGTGTGCAGTTTCGTGGTCACTTGGAAGGGAAGGCCAAATTGGCCTCTAGAAGATGTAAACAGAAGGCGTGCTCACCAGAGCGAGATAGTATTTCATGCCGGCACATCGCTTGCAACTTTACAAAGCACAAGTTCGGCCTCACATGGAATACTGTTCTCATCTATGGGCCGGGGAACCCCAGTGTCAGCTACTTCCACTTGACAGAGCGGTTCGAATCGTTGACGACCGAGTTCTTTCTGATCGTCTCGATACACTGGCACTGCGTAGGTATATTGGATCCCTTTGCATTTTCTATCGAATTTACGACGGTGAGTGCTCTGAGGAATTGTTCGGATTAATTACAGCCGCCAAATTTCACGAACGCACATGGCGTCAAAATTCACGATACCATCCTCCCCATCTGGATGCTTGGCGGTCCACGACTGTACGTTTTATTAGGAGTTTTCTTCCTCTTACAACTTCTCTGTGGAATTGTTTACCACCGGCGATTTTTTCTGACCAATACGACTTAGGGACCTTCAAGAAAAGAACTTACACCTTTCTAAAAGGTCGGCAACGCATCTGCAATTCCCCTGGTGTTGCGGTTGTACATGGGCGGCGGTAGTCACTTACCATGAGATGAGCCGCATGCTCATGTGCGTGAAAAAAAAGAACTCTTCTATAAAAAGAATATCTCGTTTGTTTAGAAACTTGTAGCAAGAGTTAACCAAATGAGCAATGATTATAATTTACCAAATGTTGTCACATGCTGAATGCGTCAACGATGATAGAAATTATGTGTGCCATAATTGTGAGTCTGAGTAAAAGACTAATAGCTACCCTGCCGCGGTGTACAATGTCACCACGAACGAGCGAGAAGAGAAGCTAATTACACTACTCGCTTTTAAGGCACGAGTAGCGCCGTTGAAGCCTATTTCCATTCCAAGGCTTGAATTACAAGCAGCTCTTATGGGCAGCAGAGATATCCGAACGAGCACTCTGGACGGACTCACGTACAGTGTTAGCTTGAATTGAGTCAGATCCTCGTACTTTCAAACCATTCGTTGCTCATCGACTGGCTGAGATCGAAGATCACAGTAGACCATGTGAATAGTGATGGGTACCGATGACTTAAAACGTGGCTGACGACGCCACTAGAATTTTTCCTTCCACCTTCGATGAGCGTCATCGCTGGTTTCAAGACCTGAATTGCTTAGCCTAGTCCTGATTTATAGCTCACGCAAGTGGATATAAAAGAAAGTCACCGAAAAGCGTAAATGCCCTGAGAAAGAGAGAACCGTTAAGTCTACCCGACTACAGACAATTTAGCAGCTTTAGAAGATTCCTTGGGGCAACTGCGCTTATCTTACAAGCGGTAGAAATATTCAAGAGATTGGGAAAGTGGGTTAAAGGAACCGACAATCCGCCGGAAAAGTCGGTTATGTGTTCCGACGAATATTTAGCAAAGTCGGTTAAAGGACCCGACAATGCGTTGGAAATATCACTTTTCAAAAGGGCATAATTTGACAGCTCCGTGGCGCAGTGGCTTAGCAATGAGTTGCCGCGCTGGGGGCCGCGGGTTTGAATCCCGCACGAAACAAGTACTTGTATGGCCTTCGAATAATTGTTCCGGGTCTGGATGTTTATCCTTGTGCAATTTATGTTTGTAAACTGCCTCCACGACACAGGAGAAAATCCTAGTGTGGTGGTAACGTTTTTTTTTAAAGAGCAAAAAAAGAAAAAAAATATTAATAACTATACTGACAGGTTGTTCTCGAGGAGAGTCTGTATTTAGTCCTAGGATTCCCCTAACACTATCAAATGGCCCATTCGCCATAAACATAAACAAAGCTCAAGGTCAAACTTTTAAGGTAGCGGGACTTGAGAGAAAGCTGCTTCTCCCACGGTCAGTTGTATGTGGCATGCTCTAGAGTAAGCGCACAGAGTAGCCTGGTGATTCTAGCACCCGAAGGAAAAACAAAAAATATTGTTTACAAAGAAATACTGCGGTAGGTGTAGTATTTTGATTTTGGTGGTAAAAAAACAATACCCCCGTGTCACTTTGAAAATTTGATTTTATTTTCATGTTTATTTAACCTTTGAATCCCTACACTATAATAAAGATTTTTATATTTTATAAGTATTTAAACATTTTAACATTATAATTTTATATATTGTAACAAAATTAATCACGTATAAAACCAATTAAAAATCCTATTAGAACCATTTTCTTCTACGCGGACGAAGTCGCGGGCAAAATCTAGTTCTACAATATATTATGTTATTTTCAAATAGTTTGTTTTGGTTACTTTTTATTGCTTGATATACCTATGTATAAAATGATTTTTATAAAAAAAAAACGTTTTGTTTTACCGGATGTTACCGGATTGCTACAGTACATAAAGTTAAAAAAAATGAATCGAACCATTTTTACAATGCTTCATCATCATCATCATTACAACTCTTCACAAGTCCACTGTTGAACATAGGCCTGTCCAAGAATGCCACTAAGGTTTAAAATGCCTTGCAATGGCTTAAATTTCTTCAATTTTCAAGCCTCCGCAAGCTATCGAAAATACTTTGTAAATAAACGCACTCCTTCGAAACGTTTCCTAATTATACGGACCGTGCATATGATAGTGAATATTTTATTAGATATATTGTTTCTTTTTAGTATTGTCGAAGAAATCTAATTTAAAACAAATGCATACCAGTCTGTGCGCCCTTTGTGGAATGAAGTTACGAGCTCGTAGAAATCGAATTAAGAATTCATCATCCATACGGTGCGGATCACACTCTCCACGTTCTGAAATGGAAGAAAAAAAGGTGCAAGTAAAGTAGGTAGCGTATATTCATTCCATTATATTATTACAGCTTTTCACAGGTCCACAGCTTAACATTGGCCTCCACCAAAGATTAATCAAACACGGATGAAAACAAACATTTTAAATTTAAATTAAACACCTATTAATTTATGACTTATGTTGTGAAAGGGGTCAATGTCTTAATATCATCCTTTCGTCATCTTAATAGAGTTTCTTTACCTGCCTACTGTGTAAACGTCTATTTACTTTGTTCTATTTTTAAACGTCCTTATTGCTGGTTTTTCACAAAATTTCATAAAACGAAATGATTAGGGAGAAAAGTTAAAATAAAAATAATTCATATTAGTTTCACGCCTCAGTCAACTAAGTTTTTGGTGTATCCTTTTGAGGCTAAGATGTTGGGGCTCACCTAAAATTGACCGTGAGAAAAACAGTCCTTGAGATATATTAATGATAATGGCAAAGCACAACTTGGGAGAAATCTGTATTCTTTTTAAACTTGAACGGACCGATATTCTGATGGAATTAGGGGAATTCTTGGAATGAAAACTTATTTTCCCATTGCTTCTATAACATTTTTACGGAGAGCTTTTACTTACAATCTAGTTCCGTTGCACAATTTAGGTAGAAATAGATTTCTAAAGACATTACAAGTGCTCAAACTTTAAAAATAAACAATTATGATGGATAACCAGAAGAAATTCATTTAGAAATTCAATGGGGTAGTGGACGACGGTTTGAGTATCAAAATATTACAAATAACAAATAATTAACACCTGTATAACCGTAACTATTAACCCTCGATCACCGGACCCCCCAAAATTCTAACGTGAATTTAAAACCTATGGCTATTATTAGGAAAATGTTAACTGGTTTTATCAATAATTGGTATTACGTCGAATTATCTAAAAGGCAAAACTAAGTTTTATTACTATAATGAGCCTTATTTAGTCAAGAAGCAAGGTCTCACAGCATAATTAAAGGGAAAAATCCGAAAATTAGTAAATTTAGCGATTACTAACTTACATTTACTGTTGGATTATCGACCGTGATATAAACCCGATGTATGCGAGAACATTTTTTTCACGGCAACATTAAGTTTATCCTTGAATCTGACTTATCTGTTGCTTACATTTTTTTTTAATTTTAATTCGTTATTATATAATTTTCACTAATTTACCTCCAAAGAGCGTATTTTAATCAAAGACTATTTTGTAACCCTTCAATGAAATTATTAACAACAATCTTAGAATATGTACCTACGTGTTTAGATTTTCTTAAACAAAAGACCAAATACTTATTTTCATGGATTCACGTTCAATAATGAAGAGTTTTCATGCATACATATGTAATCCCCATAGGGGAGGAATATCGGAATATAATTTCTTATTGGGTGCTTCAGTTCAAATTTCAGATAAATCTGCGGTTTGTGCCTAGCAATGAAATATTAGATCACGGTTATTATAAAATTTAGGGCTAAACTTAATGAATACAGACTGAAAAAATAACTTGGGCATGTTATGTTTGTTAAACGTATGACGGCACGCTAAGATAATCCATTAACACATCTTATCTCGTCGATTTGAACGAAATTATGACCTTTTGTAAATAGTTATTTAAAATATAGTGCAGCCAACTTATAAATTTTCCCTGTAAGAAAATATAGGTCATGGATTGTTCTAGGAGTTTTGAGTGATTAAAAATTTAAATTATTAAATATTAATGATTTACTAAAAGAAGTCAGTTTAATAACATAGACACTAATTATTAATTTATAGAACATGTGCGGCCGTTTATATCATTTTCCCCCGATGAGTTCATATCAAAACAGTTTGAACAAAATTATTTATAAAAACTTACGACCTTTCTTATTTAATGATAATGTCAATGTTAATCTTTTACAATGATGCTTTTTATTAATCAACAGTTTATAAGCTTTAGGCACGATCACCACGATGCCCAACCCCTGGTCATCGCCGGCTGAATACCGAGGGGTTACTTTTAACTACGGAATATCTTTCGTAAAACGCATCATCCGCGACCAGCCGAAATTCTTATTAGTTGCCACCATCAACTAGTCAACAGTGAGAGCAAACTGTCCTTAAGACACAAGCTCCATCTTTAAAAAATGTGCGTACGGCATAGGTCATATTATGTGTTACGCAAGCGTAGCCCACGATGAAGTTCTCTTTTTTGTTTAAGTTGTTCAAAAAACATTTTCTTGTAGCTCTGCGCAACTGCAGCCCGTTGGTATGAGCGTAACTCTTAATTTGTATAATAATACGAACTTCCGTCAATCGCTAAATACTTCTACTTTTGAGAGCGGCAAAACCTACCCGCTAGTAATGAATGCCCCACAACGTATTAACCGAACGTCCGGTTTATACAAAAATGTCATAGGCACACAGGCTAAAATAGTGTCGGTTCACCCGGAGGAGCACTTATTATTTTTATTTTATTTTATTATTTCTTACTGTGTTTGTTAAATAAATGTTTTTCCATTCTATGGTTATTGTAATAAAATACTAATAAAAAAATAAAAACAGTTAGGTAGCAAAGAATCTTTCACTACGGCGCGGCGTTTCGTTCTTTCGACGTCAGTTACTGCGGTCGCCGATCGGTTTAGGAAGCGTGGCGATTACGATCAATCCACTGTTGACTGAACATTATAATATTTTATAAATTTAACAAATCAATGAAAAAAGTTACAATCTGTATTAATATTGTGCCGGTGGACATTACTGATATATCCCTTAATTTACCGTTAACGTTACCGTTACAGTCTTTTAAAGTCCACTGCTGAACATAGGCCTCCCCCATAAATTGCCTCATAGGGGGGAGATCTGCAATAGTAGCCACGCTTGGCAAGCGGGTTGGCAACTGCAGTTTTTTATTTTTACTCGTAATTAGAAAACGCTGCTGCCCATCTCCTCAAGAACAAGAAGTTTTGACAAGACAATTGTAGGCTCACCGCCACTTCCTACATTCAATTATAAAATATTATAAAAACATATGTCTGTTACGTTAAAATAAATATACAAAGTATTATAAAGTGCCAACAAACTAGTTTTATTATAATTAATTATTTTACAACAAGAAATATTTAACACACGGCATTCCCTTAATTTACTCCAACTCAAATTCCTATGTAATAATCACATAGTGATAAATTTATTAATATATACAATATTAAAAACCGATGATAAATTATAACTAAAACTAATAACTATAAAATATCATACATTCCTACTCCCCGTGGTATCATGCCAAGAACGCTTGCTGCGTTTCCTCGCTGAATGGCTATACTTAGCTTTTGACCGAGAAAAGAAACCGCCCTCTTATTACCATCAGCAACGACCAGTAAATTAATAAATTATAAAATTATTATTATATTTAATAAACTTTTATACTCTTCCTTATCATCAATCTCAATATCACAAATATTTTATTTTCTGTACCCCTCGATTAAGAATAAGAATGCAGATGCGTTGTCACCCCTGATGACTCGTTACCAATAAAATACGTCTCCGCTTCTATACACTTACCGTACGTGGGCTTGTGATGGGATATAATAAATGAAAAAATTAAATGTATAAGAGGGATGTCCCATCTTCAAACGCCAAACTAATTTGCACACGATGCATTATGCTGACCAACGAACGTATTCCATTATAATTTATTCAAAAACACTGAGCTAAACTAGCCTACCAGTATGGTATAATAATTTAATCATTAAAAAATACATATTTGATGATATATTGACTCGATTGATTAATTGATTCAAGATCTTATTAAAAATAAGATAGATTATGTTAAAATTCAAATTATTGTTTTATTTAAAAAAAATTGTATATTCGGCGATGTACCAGTTCAAGAAAGTTCGACGCAGGTTAATGATAAAGGTGCAATGACATGTATCGTTGTTATTTACATGCCACGTTACCCGTAAAGTGTGTAATTACAAATGTATACGAAATTTAATAAGCATTTATTGTACGTAAATTTAGAATCATCTTTTCTATATTTTTTTAAACTATTATCGTTAAAGTTAAAAGTGGTCTGTGCCTAAAAGTGGAAAACAATCGGTATGCTTGCAATAGCTTTTAGCTACCATTAGCTTATGGCATCTGTTTTTTTAATAATAAATTTTGATGCAGTTATCAAGAAATATGTTTCTTTGCAAAAATCGTTTCAATATAAAATGAAAATAAATTAAATTATAAGTGAAATGACAGTTAAAAGTTTAAGAAGCGATAAGAAACTAAATTACCTTGATCTTTAAAAATAGATAAACCTCCTGTGTATTTGACCCTGTAGTTATATCACTTCCGCAGTTAGCCGCGTTCTGACGGTCACATACGAAATAAAAAATGTATATGAGGTATAAATATGTATGAACAATAAATTTATATATATATATATATATATATATATTAAATAAAATGACAGTCAGTAAATTTTTAAATTTCAGTTAGTAAATACTTTCTAGTTTACATTTTCCTGGAGTACGAAAGAAATATTAAGAATATTTCTGCACACTCTGGGAATATGATGTTCTACACACTCTGAAAAACCGCTGTCTATTACAGCCATAAAAGCCAACTGCTGAACATAGGCCTCCCCCATGGTTTACCTCATAGGTAGGATTTTGCCATAGTTAATACGCTTGGCAAGCGGGTTGGCAACCACAAATTTTTATAATTTTGAGTTGTTACCAGGAAGATGCTGCTGCCTGTCACCTGTTTCAATTTCCCACTGTCACCTCTTACGACACCCACGGGACAATACGGGGTAGTGGATATTCTTACACCGCCACACCGGCACTATACTTATATGTCTATACTGAATTGTTATGAACTATGATCAAAATATTACATTTATAATAAATACAGACTAGCTATCATTAAAAAAAAATCCAGATAGACTACACTCAAAAATAGCTTTTTAAAGAAGCTAAACGTGTTTAAAAATTAAGTTACGT